TAGATGGATTTGATCCTTATCACTAATGGCAGAGGGAGGAATGCTGCATTATAAAAACTACTACAATTCTTCTTAAAGATTTGTGTAAAATAAAATTAATTTCCATCTACCTGTGATTACTAAGCATGGATGTCTCAAGAGCAAGTACCAATGCCTCCTCAGTGAGCACCTATGTTTATGAATATAATATGGATCACCATACAAGAAGAGAGTGATTAATTACACTGCAATCAAATATTTCATGGAAACTGCTGACACCTGAGCAATGCTAATAAAAAGAAAAATTGAAAATAGTATGAGAGAGCTAACTAATGTCACACTGCTTGCCACTCTGGCCAATCTCACAACCGCTTAACTCAATGACACCTGACAGGCTCACAAATGCAGACATCAAAACCAGTATACATGTATGAAAGCGATCCTTGCAGTAATAAACCCTAATTGAAATGTAGTGGTGGAAATAGTAGGGTTGATTACTGCAAGGATTGCTTTCATACATTACATGAAACTGCAGTACACCCAGATGATTTTCATATATTCAAATTCTTATTGACCAGTATACATATGCATTGGCTGGCAGCATCTACAGTCCCGAATTAATATGTACATTTACGTTCCACACATGCAATATTTCATATTCATCATTTACAATTGCCAAATGAACATTTATTAGTCAATCATGTCCTATTTTTTTATTTTTTAGTATACTGTATTGACATAATTTGAACAGAGACAAAAGTCTAATTCAAGTAACATTTCTCAAACAAAAAAAAAAAAATTCCAAATCAACAGAATTTTATAATTCAATACCTGTGGTAAACATGACAGGACACTTGGGATCAACAGACAATGCCCATACTCCATAGGACTGACATTTATTAACAAAAGATGTTGTTCATCATCATCATCTACCGTACTTTTCCTTGGAAAGTGCTTTGGACACAGTGCAAACAATACCTACAAGTATATAAAAATACATCTTAGAATCTGACAGTTGAGTAGGTTGCCCAATGGTAACTTGTGATGTCACAGGCAGCCCAAGTGTACTGTGTGTGATTTTGGGGTCTAAAGGTCATTAACCTGAATACCTAACAGATTAAGATTGCATTTTAAGCGTAAGCATGGGCCATTAAAAAAAAGGGAAAAATTATAAAAAAGTATAGAAAGATTAAAAAGGATAATAAAAGTGAGGAATATAATGTGTTTAGTCTCCTTACCCTTTTTCTGAATCTGCTTTGTCATTTAACGTTTTTTAACGCTATTTTATAAGCATACACTACAGTACACACTTACCTCTTTTCTGTGTACTTTTGTAAAGTTGAATTTGTCAGGATTAAAAGTTTGAGAGATGCTGTTTATTAGTTCAGGTTTTCTTCTCTTATTAAATCTCATCTCATTCAACTGAAAAAACAAAATACAACATTACACTATTGCCAGTTGATTTCTCTTTCCAAAGATTCTTTGGTCAGAGGTGTTTTAGTACAAGAAAAAAAGCCTTTAATTATATGCCTGAAGATGTACATGTACTCACTTATTTAAATTGTTATATGATAATACAACCATTATATAAAATCTCCACAAAGAAGAATTAGCATCTT